CACGATGACCTAGTTTCAGCATTTTATGGCTATATTTTATTTTGTTAGGTACTTATTGGCTTAGAATCATCAAACTTTGTGAGTTGTTGCATCTTGGGTTTTTGGAGAGTGACGACCAAAAAGTAGGTCACGGTGACCTACTTTTGACATTTTATGGCTTTATTTAAGTATCTACGGTACTTATTGGCTTAGAATCATCAAACTTTGTAAGTTGATGCATCTTGGGTTTTCGGAGAATGATGTCCAAAAAGTAGGTCACAGTGACCTACTTTCGACATTTTATGGCTATATTTTAGTATTTTTAGCTCACCTGAGCCGAAGGCTCAAGTGAGCTTTTCTGATCACATTTTGTCCGTCGTCCGTCCGTCCGTGTTTACGAGAGTGCATTTATTGGGTATTTTTCATGCTCATTTTGTACTTATTGAGGCGCATCGTTTACGATGCAGCCTCATTGCTATCACCAGGCAATTCTTTCTTATCTAAACTGCGGCGGCAAAGGACTCAACAATATTGATTCTTAACACGTTATTAAAAATAGTGCTTATGTACATTGACAAGTTGGCGATATCCGTTGTTAATTTTAAACTGCCAATAACACAAAATCTCACACATACACGTTGTTTTAACTTTGAATCAACAGAGGTTACGAAAAATGAGAAAATAAACAATTAAAACAGAGAGAAAACAACAACAAACGTGCACTGCGCGGAGTAAGATCTATTTGCATAACAACAGCTCGTACTATGAATTACTCGGTTTTGTATCGGGTTCATAATAAACCGTATACCACGCCCGATCATTTATTTTAGTCCCGTATAATTTACATGAACATTTCATGAATATAACATTTGTTATATATTGTGTCATTTATATTGGGAAAAAGTTAAAAACAAGGAAGTGATATTTATAAAAGTGCACATAATGAAAGAAACTGAAATAATTCAGATATCAAATTATATAATATTATTCAATAATCATTACTAGTAATAAATTTCTATATTGACATTCATTATTTCATCTTCCTAATAGTCAAAGAATAAAAATTAAAAAAAAGAATTAAAATACAATTAAAATCAATTATGATTCAATTTAAATATCAATGAATTATAACCGATATATCTTTTTAAAAAAATGTTTTTCCTCTCCTGATCGATTGGCTAAAATTCAGAGCCATGCCTCAAATTTTTTAACCTCAAAGAAACGTTAAATATTTTTTAAATTATTCCTGGATTATTTCATTCCCTTAACATTGATGTTGAATTTCTCCAAAAAAAAAGTTTTATACCCTCAATGCGATGCGCCTCTCAGGCCTGCAGGCCTTTGATTGGGTACTTTTTGCTTATTGGGTATACCCAATAAGCAGTGTCGCTAAATGTGCTTAAAACACCTTAATTGGGTATTTGCCGGTAAGTACCCAACAAAACTTGGACACGACGATTTGTTTAAAAAAGTGTCTAAAAAAGTTGTTTCTATGGACAGACCATGTTTTGCGTTTCGGTTTTACACTCGGAACTCTAAATTCTCGAGATTTCCGAAAATCAACTTCCGGTAGTCATGATCATAACTGCGTTTGTTTTCACGAAGAAATATATGGCGACTAAGAAACACAGGATGTCAACAAGATTGTCTCTTTGACAAGAGCAAAGGTAAGTTTATTCGATTAATATTTACAAAATGCTAGATTCTTGCTTAAGGAAAATTGATTTTAATGTAATTTAAAAGTAATTGTGCACAAAATTAAAAATAAGTATCGAAACAATGCATTCTAAGTAGCATTTGTATGTATTTTGAATTTCCTCTGCCTTTTTAACTCTCTTTAGCGCGAGAAGTATTTAGAAAATTATCGTATATTGTTAAATAATATTTGATAACTTGGTAAGTGTTAATTATTTAGTTTTATATAGTCACCACTTAGTATATTTTGACAAGGTATATTGGAAAGCAAAATGAAGATTTTAACAATCGTTTTTCCATAAATAAGCTGTAAATTATTCGGTTCATGTAGACAGTATTACAAACGTAAAAGTAGCAAATTATTTACATTCACTCAATCTACTGAAAGATAAGTGCCATGCAATTAAATCAAAATATATTTGCAGTGTTTTTAATGATTTAATTAAGATGAAAACAAATTAAATTTTGCTTCGTTTTAGATGAGCTAGTGAATGATAAGAAAAACGAAGATTAAAAAAAACTTTCATTTTCTATCATAATTATTATATATATATATATATTATTAAATTTTGCATGTTAAAATTAAACTTTTTAAATTTTAAAAGAATTACCTTTAGTTAGTATCCTGACTTTTTCACTATTAACTTTTTTTCAATATTACTTTTTATTTTTTGCCTCTATATTTAGGCTAGTAACTTTTTACTTGGGGATAGTAACTTTATTGCTGCCACCAGACTGTTGGCTATTACTTGAATTTTTTAATTGCACACCCCTGAATGCGATTTAATGGCACAAAGAGCTATTAGGTTTACATATGCGAATTTATATGATTAATGCTTGCTTGTGATTTTAGGACACTTGGATATAAATTTAAGATTCATTTCCCTCATGATATTTAATTCATATTTTTCCTAACTTATGTTAAAATAAATTGGTTTGGATTTTTTATTGAAGTTACCAATGATTGCAATAAAATTTAAAATCATAATTATGTTTAGTTAAGAATTAAACGATTTTCAATATATAACAGGTCAATTTCAGGTTTGAACATTGCAGAAAAAACAGAAGAAGATGACTCTCAGGAATCGGAAAGTTGTAAGTAATCAGTAAAAAAAAAATCAGGAACCCAGGAAAGCTATTGTTAATGTCATGCAAGTACAAAAAACCTCTTTAGTCTTCATGTTCAGTTTGATAAATTTCCTTAGTATATATTTATTGTAGTGTATCTTTTGATGCCCTTTACTTTTGCCACATTTTGTAAGTTCTATGGTCGACACAATGACCTTGTCAGCAAATACAATTTATCATTAAGTCAAATGCTGACTGGTGTTTTTCATACTAATTGTTAGTCCATTATTTGTACACTGAATTACAACGGATTTTCCATTATTTCCTGATCATGACAAGGATCACACGGCAGGTGTGACTGGTAAGCAGGGGATGCTCACTCCTCCATGGCACCTGATCCCACCCTTATGTTTCGGAGGTCCGTGCTTGCTATGCTCCTAATTTGTATTGTTTTATGAGCTTTGAGATCGAATACTATTTGTTATCTCAATATCTTTCCTTTACTGTAATTTAGTTTTCATCTTTTCAAGTTCTATCCAGCTTAGTCAATTTTAATTATAGACTTTATTCGAAGCATCATTCAGGAAGGGGAGGGGGGTCAAGTGTGTTTCTGTCCATGCCAATATAATATGAAAGTATTGCTTAAGGTTTGGGTCAATTTGAAATCCTCTTTAGTAGAACCATTGGGCTAAACACAGTAATAATGTGAAAGATTTGTCATGTAGTGTAGAGATGTTTTTTGAAGATTATGGCCCCCTATTGTACTGATAGTGTTGCATTAGAAGTCTAAATTTTCATTGAATAGGTGTAGAATCTTTTCAGAATCCCCCTTAATAATAAGAAAACTAAAAACTGTTTAATAAATATGCAGCATCTTTTTGTGTGTTGAATTATGATTTCAATATGCTAAAATAATGGCAATGGGGGTATTAGGATGAAGATGCTATTAGACATTGAAGAGAAAGAGAAAGAGTTGATAAAATTTATTATCAATATATATTTGTGAATAAGAAATATACTTTTCCTTCTTGGTTGGGTTAGATCAACATTAAGGGTGATCTTGCTGTGGCCAAGTAAAATACATTTTATACGGACTAGAAATGTCGTTATCTAATTGCAGAATGAATAAAATGGACAGAAGCAGAACTAAAGGAGATGCATGAAATGAAAAATATTTCAAAGAATGTCCGAACAAAACCACTACTCTTGGAAGACAAGACAGCAGTATTGCAATATAAAAGAGCAGGTCAATGGAGGTATCATACAGTATAGGCCATGGGAGACACTGAAGAAGAAAGCATGGAACAGAGATAAAAATAAATCATTTTGACATAATTGTGATAAGGGATTAATGCCCTACCTGTAACATTTTGGCATGTAATGACCTTTCTCTTGCTCTAAGACTACTAACAGTGAGAATTTGATTGAACATCTTGATCCCAATTTGTCGAAAAGATTTTGACATAGTGGCATTGTGCGTAAGTTTTTTTTTGTAACCTTTTGATACAAAAATTTCATTCATTGTACTTGGAACTGAGTTTAAGTTAACGATGAAAAGTTTAGGTCCTGGTGCAACACACTGTTTTATTGGCTGAAAAATTGTTTATATTCACAACTTTCCACTAATAATAATAAATCCCAAAATATGAAAAACCTTTCCGCAGCTTGTTCTTGTTGCTTGTCCACAAGAGAAAACATGAGAAATTGAATTGAGTGAAACATGTCATTTATTGACCAGATAAATGACGCAAGTGAACAAAAGCACATAAATATACATATTACATACAGTCATGTAAATTATAGCTGGGATAAGGACAAATACTGAATAGTTTCAACTTAGATATGATATATTGTGACTTATTGCTTATCCCAGCTAATGTTATATAATGATGACCAAGTTTGTGTAACAAGAAGGTGGCGTAAAAAAGAGGCCATACAGCTTGCTTAATGCTTGCATAATGCATGCTGCGCCACCCAAGGAAAGGGCTTTTCATTAATTAATTATAAACTGAATAGCATGTACCTGCGTGGTCTAACTTAACACAATCATAAAAAACCATACATGTAATCATAAAGTAATATCTAAAAGGGGTAACATATTAAAGGGTAAGGTTTGCTAATTACATGAGTAAGGCGAAGGGCATAATTCATGCTGCCTCATAAAATTTATTTAGGAACAAACTTCAGTCTCATGAGCTTATTTCTACATCATTTTTACAACCAGTCGTATGCTGTCCAAGTACCATACAGTTTTTATAAGCAGCTGTATGTTAACCTCATACACAAGTCTCATGACCCAACTTAAGGCTGAGTTACAACTTCCATATATGCAGTTTCTTTTAAGAGCAACCGTATGCTGTCCTCATGATATTAGTTCGCAACTAACAGTTTTCTTTTATGAGCAACCGTATGCTGTCCTCATGCATAATAGCTTGCAACGACGAGGGGAAATTGAAGGATAAAATGTGATCTCATAAACGAGCTAGACCTTTTCAAAGAAAACACTTGCCAAGATCCCACACCGAATTACTGTTTTATACAGGCAACTATGTGCTGGCCTCAGAAAATCCAAATCCGTTCTGTTTCATATTGAGTTGATACTTTTTGAAGTTTGTAATCTATCTGAGCAACCATTTGCTGACCTCTTAGACTTAATTTATATGTTTAAATTGCTGGACTGAATTAAATTACTTTGATAGTCGGTGGCAGTACATGTATAAGGGGAACATATTATTTGAAAATCTATCTGAGCAACCATTTGCTGACCTCATAGACTTAATTATATGTTTAAATTACTGGACTGGACTAAATTACTTTGATATTCGGTGGCAGTACATGTATAAGGGGAACATTTTGTTTGAAATTCTCATTACAAAGTTGAAATTTAGAACTTGAAAGCATTTATTCTAATGTAACGTCTACTTGCATTTGAGTGCCAACGCCCGAGTTGTTGAATTACATTTTCAGATAAACCGTTCTTAGCCGCCTCTGTAGCAGCACCAATACGGAAACTATGACCTAGGTAAAGTGATGAGTCCAAACCTATAAAATTTATGGCATGTTTCAAATGGGATGCCACAAAACTGTGCGGAACTGGTTCGCCAGATTTGAAAATGAATAAAGGACCAGATGTGTGTTTATGTTGAGTAATATATGCTTTTAGGGCATGAACTGGACAAAATTGACAGTTCAAATTATTAGCTGTCAGAGTAATTATTATTGGCTGCCTATCATTCATAGTTTTTGAATATCTGAGCGTGATCTGAACTGAATTATCATCATTGAACATTATGTCTTGTCTTTGAATTACTTTGGAGTTAAGTGTTTTGTTTCTGGGAACGAGTTCACCTAGGCGCATAAAGGCGTGAAAGGCAAGAAGGAAAACTGCCGACAGTAGAGTTCTTGAGTCTGCTTCTTGAACGGTGTGATATAAGGCAGATAATAATTTGATAAGAATGGGTTTTGTGATTGGAAGTCTAGTGTCAGCAGTTCTTGCTAGGTTTTAGGCTCCTTTGATAACTTTTCTCACAATAAAAGAGTGGGTAGGGTCATGAAGGTCAAAAATTTTATGAACGAAACTAATTGCCGAAATATGTGAAGTGATAGTGGATGGGCTTAAACCCTCAGTAAATAAATCACCAATAAAATTGCAAATTATTCCTTCTGCAAATGGGAGAGAAAATGGTAGCCTATGGGTGTCACAGAATTTCTTTAACAAGTTCCAACTTCGAAGGTATAACTGCTTAGAAGATAGAGACAGTGATGCCTGAAGTAACTGCCGACTTGATTGGCTTAGATGTAAATCAAATGTTCTGGTACTGCTGTTGGCTTGAGGTCCAACCAAGGGGCAAAGAGTTTCTTGGCTTCCTGGAATTTAAAACGGGAAAGGTAATCTGCAAGTATATTGTGTTTCCCTGGAATGTGTTTTGCTTTAAATAGTATGTTATATTTCATTGCTGCAACAACTAATCGACGTACAAGTTTCATCAATATTTTGTCTCTGCATGACTGTTTATTAATGACCTCAACAACTGCTATATTATCAGTGAAAAAGAGAATTTTTTGATTGCTAAAATGAGTCCCCCAAATTTCTACCAATAGAACGATAGGAAATAACTCTTTAACAGAAATGTGATAATCTGTATGAATATCTAGCCAAGATTGAGCAAACCATTTTGAACCATATACAGCTGCATAACCCAAGGCACCAGATGCATCTGTATATATATGTAACTTCTGTGAAGAAAACCACTCATCCTGATGAAATATAGACTTGCCATTAAAATGATCAATAAAAAGCTGCCATGCTTTAATGTCCGCACGTTCTTCAGCAGTTAATCTTATGTAATGATTTGGTTTGGACACACGACGAGTCAAATCTATTAAGCGTCTCAAAAATGCACGACCAGGTGTGACTACTTGACAGGCAAAATTGAGAACACCTATCAAGGACTGCAATTCTCTTAATTGAATTTTTTTTCTATGGACTGTCTTTGCCAACAATTGTCTCATATTAGTGAGTTTGTCTTCTGGAAGTCTACTTTGCATGAGAACCGAATCTACCTCAATTCCATAAATGGTCAAACAAGTTGTTGGTAAAACGGTTTTTGATTCTTTAAGAGGGACTCCTACTCTCGAACATAAATTTTCAAAGTTTCTAACATCAGAGAGACATTTTTGAGATAAAGCTGGTCCAATGAAGAAAAAATCGTCAATAAGATGAGACATACCAGAGGCCTGGTATTTATTTAACATAATCCATTGCAAAGCCGTGCTTAACCTCTCAAACAACTGACACGATGAACTGGCTCCCATTGGTAAACATTTATCAAAATAATATTGATTGTTCCAAAGAAAGCCTAAAAAATGATAGTCTGAAGGGTGTATTGGGATGTTTCTAAACCCATCTTCTATGTCTAGCTTAGCCATCAGTGCCCCTTTCCCAAATTTCTTGATTAGCTGTATTACATTTTCAATAGAATCATATTGCACAACCGCATTTTCTCGCGAAATGTGTTCATTTACGGAATTACCCTCTGGGAAGGATAGATCGTGTATGATTCTAAATTCTCCGGGTAGCTTCTTAGGCACGAGTCCTAGTGGCGAACAAATAAAATTATCAAACGGTTTCAGTACATGAGGACCTGAAATACGATTGAGACCCAATTCCTTATTTAACTTTTCGTTAACTACCATTGGACTTTTCCTAACAGATGAGTGATTGTTCTTAACAGAGGTCGGAAGAAATTCACTGCAGCCCAATTTAAAACCAAATTTAAATCCATCAACAAGAAAATCAAGTAAGACACTGTCATAACCTTGCAATTCCTGATAAAGAACCTCATGCCTTATTGTTGTTGGTACTGTTTGGTTTCCTAATAGACTTGTTTCGGCCCCATTTGTTACATTTATATTTGGGATGCTGTTCACTACAGAGTTGGCAGATGTGTTTATAATTACATGGTGAGGATTTACAGGTTGTACCATTGTTATAGTTGAAGCACAACGGCTCCCGCTGTTTTGTTTTTGGCTGGTTGGAGGGATACTGAGAGGAGCGAAATGAACGAGTAAGAGTACAGGCTTTGACCATATACTCGGTAATGGGAAGTTGCCAAGGTACCTTATTTGATTGTCGGAGTTTTCTGAAGTTTTCATCATAATATCTCCAGGCCCCATCCCCATTAGAACTCCCAATTTCCCTAACAGTGAAACAATATTTTAGTAGATTTGCATGCTCTTGGGGTGACTTCTCGGTGTAAATTGACATGAATATCAAAAATGCTGATGTCCACTGGTGTAGTGACATCACTGATTGTTTTGTTGACTGAGGATTTAATTGGATAGCATTATTTTCTATCTGAATTGAAATGTTTTCGTCTTTGAAATTTGGAAGTAAACATTTAAGGTCAATGAATTGATCGTTCCAGATTTTATTTTTTATGCGAACTGGGATGTTAGCACCCAGAGGTATACCATTGTCTACTGATGACGGGACAGAAAGTAGGTTGTTACTGTTTAATGTACCTGCCACCGACTCACCTGAAAACAACTGCTGTAAGGTGCTTAGCAAATTTGAACCATTTGAATCGCTAGCAGTGCTAGAAGTCTGCAGTGCAGAGGGTGCAGCCTGTGAAGTAGAGGGGATAACCTGTGGAGTGATACTGTTTGCCGAAGCAGTGCTGGAAGTCAAAGCCTGTTGCTGTTGTCGTAGGATAGCTTCTGCCAGCTGGTCGTAGTCAATTGGAGGGTTGTTGGTGCAGCTCGCTTGAGTAGATGAATTGGCATCAACTGCATTGCCCAAAGCCAAGTCCGCAGGGGGCACCTGGGCTGGTTGACTGCGCAACCTCATCCTCTTTTTTGGTGGCATATTTTCTACAATAAGTCCAAGCAGTTGTAATTGCCATAGATGATAATATAATCATGATCATAGTATAACTAATGTTAGCCACTCAGCTATAAGCACAAATTGTGCACCAACATGTTTATATTTTTCATCTTTATCAATCGTGAATGAAATTTTCATAATGCATTTGTCAGCCATTCAAAACACATTAATTATAATTGTCAGCTTGAAACAGGTCAGTTATCATGGTCATATTAAAAATTCAAGTTGCAGCTAAGAACAGGAAAATTAAAATTAAAGGCATGTGCTCATTCCACGATGGAAAATGCCCTATGAATAACAAATTTAGCTGCAACTTAACATCATAGTGACATTGACAGGCAACCATCTTTTAAATAAATAAACAGATCCTCCCGACCTTCATTGGATATCGGGAAGATTAAAAAAATAAACTGTTACCGTCACATATAAAATCATTTAAAGGCAACCCTCTTTTAATAAATAAATAAACAGATCTTCCCAACCTTCATCGGATATTGGGAAGATTAAGAAAAACAAACTGGAGCCTTTAAATACACAAGACATTGATAGGCAACCCTTTTTTATAAATAAATAAACAGATCTTCCCAACCTTCATCGGATATTGGGAAGATTAAGAAAAACAAACTGGAGCCTTCACATAAATATGATGGAATCAATTGGTAATTCCCAAATTCTGACCAATACTGACACTAACCACATAATTATAAATCAGGCGACATAATGTGCAGAAGCATGTCGAGGTTTAAATTGAAATTCTATATGCATTCAAGCAATGTCATATTCATATACTGTAAAATGTTACATAACAAATTGCAATAAATTTCCATCACATGCATCATCTATCAACATATGTGCAGAGAAGGCTAAAATAAGCTATGCCCTCTGCCCAATAGTATTCACAATAAAATCTGTGAATAAAATATAGTTCAACTTGAACATTATGTGCATGTTTTACTTATCCTTAATCTCCCGTCGTGGCCGATGGGAAGCATGGAGGACAGCACTTTTAATGCTCTGGAGGTACTTCTTCATGTACCGGTGGTCGTGGCTGCTGTCTTTTAGGTGAACCCCATCGCTGGCCAAGAATTTCATGTCTGGGTCCCAGAAGCCATGATGGTGCCAGAATAAAATGTTGTTGGTGGATTGGTGGCACTGATCGTGTAGGAGTTTATTAGTGTCTATCACTTTATAATTGTAATGGTCGCCTACTTTGGACGGATGTCTGCGTAATAACTGTCCAATTATTACAAAGGAAAAATTGTTGGTTAACAGTAAGAACTGCGCTAACGACATAATATTCCGAGCGACCTTGGTTGGTGTTGCTTGTGGATCTGTTAAATCATTCCCGCCAATTTGGATGAAGCAGATAGCGTCCTCGGTATGTATACCTTGAAAATCAAGCAATTCCTTTGAGTTGGCTAGCTCGTGTGTCTTGAGGCCACCCCTTGCTCGAAATAACACTTTAAATGTATCTTTATAAAGTCGTAAGTTATCAAAATCTGGTTCATTCTGTACTAGAACACCGAGTCTCCTGATGAAGGAATGACCAATCAGCACCACTGTGCGCGGTTTAGGTTCACCAGTACTTGCCGCCTCCATGCCGACTTAAACATTCGGACAATCAATCAAAGAGTTCAAATAATTACGCACCTTAAATGGTGTCACAGCGAATATTGCTGTTTATTAAATCGATCTCTTAGAGTCAGAATCTCTCTCAAAATTTAACCACAGCCTCGTGCTTCTGCTGATTAAAATAAAATGGGTACTCGATCCCGATCAAGCTGAACCCGATCTTAATATGAATCCGATCCCGATGTTAAACAATATAGATCAATAACAAATGCAATTTTATCTTTGTCAAACAATGTAAAAGATTGTATATAAAACATTTTATGAAACATAAAATTTTATTTGTGATTTCCAACCCAATTCATTCCATAAATATCAGAAGTATTTTTATTACAGGGAAAATATACATCGTACAGGTATCTGTAATAAACAGGATATTTAAAAATATTTTATACAAGCTTTAAATCGGTTCAAGATTTTTTTTTCATATAATAGAACACAATCTGAGCAACTTGAAGGAAAATATTTACTCAAGGGTGTGATTTATTTATCTATGTACCAATGTGGTTTTTAAGTCTGAATTTTTTGGTACTTACTTACTAACAGATATTTCATCATAGATAAAATGAAGGTTTAGGGAAGAAATTTTCTCACTATCTTGCTCTACCTGTAATGAGTTATACTTAATGCAAAGTTGCAAAACTTAGATTTTACAATCATGGTTATAAAAATGGTTTTATTTACAGCCAAATAGTTTAGGCACAAAATGCTTATATCTTCCTATCATTTGTAAATTGTACACTGAATGATATGTTGAATGTTAGAAATAAAGTACCGTATTCAAGATGTTTTGGACTTTTGTATACTTATGCAGATAAATATGAATTCAACAAGGGAGAGACAAATGCTATACCTATTGGGTTTGCAGTATATTGCAAGAGTATAGATATCCAAGACATAAAACCTTTTGGAGGAGGGTGATTTTAATGAAAGGTATAAGTTACCCAAGAAATATTGGACAAGTAAACATTACCTGTTGGGAATTATTCTAATGACGGAATGAAATACCCAAGAGGAGTTGGACAGATATCCAATACTGATGAAGAATTCTGATGAAGCAATTCAAGAAACCCAAGAAGAATTGGACAAGTGTACATTATCTGTTGGGTGGGATATACTGTACAGCAGGAAATTAACTCGCGGAGTTAATTTTCGCTATATTCGCGGAAAAAGAAATTCCGCGAATTCAACATACAGTGAATAATTCTTTAAAAAGTTTGATAAAGATAAATTGAAATTTTATTATTTTCTGTGATTAGATGTAGACTGTCTTTATTAATTATGCGAGTGTCTGGATCAATTACAAACACGCAATTGTTGCTGTTTTTAAAGCTTATTAATTGTTTTATTCATTTCTATAGCTAACGATTAATTTTGCCATCTAGTAGATGTGTGATGTAATTATATGATAAAACATGCTTGTTTAATTTCACCTGTGCGTATCACTCAGTGACTCAGTCATTACCTTTAATCAAGGCATTTACTTAGTAAACAGGGTAACGACAATTAATTAATTCCAATTATATGATTAAAAGTTCAACATTTTTACCACGGTATATTTTTTTCTGATTTGGATCCGGAAATAAAAAAAAAAATAATGCATAGCATTATTTTGACTTCGAATCGGGATCAGTCCGGTGTTTCGTTATTATTCAATCGGGATCAAAATCGACACAATATATAGACTTCTGATTTGCGCGATATACATGATTACAGACTTTCGTAATATACTATAGAGACGGGAAATAGCAGTTCTCACAATATATACCTACAGAAAAATGCTTGCAAGTACTGTTTAAAAATTTTTTGGTTTTTCCTTTTCCGCGAATTCAAACGACCGCGATTTGCTGAAAATTGAACAAATCGCGATCTTTTCCGACCGCGATTTTAACCTGCTATACAGTAGATATCCAAGAAGAGTTGGACAGGTGTCCATTACCTGTTGGGTTGTATTCTGATGAAGCAATTCAAGAAACCCTAGAAGAATTGGGCATTTGTCCATCACCTGTTGGGTGGGATGTAGATATCCAAGAAGAGTTGGACAGATGTCTATTACCTGTTGGGTTGTATTTTGATGAAGCAATTCCAGAAACCCAAGAAGAAATGGACAAGTGTGTATCGCTTGTTGGGTGGGATGTAGATATCCAAGAAGAGTTGGACAGGTGTCCATTACCTATTGGGTTGTATTCTGATGAATCAATTGAAGAAATCCAAGAAGAAATGGACATGTAACTGTCCATCGCTTGTTGGGTGGGATGTAGATATCCAAGAAGAGTTGGACAGGTGTCCATTACCTATTGGGTTGTATTTTGATGAAGCAATTGAAGAAACACAAGAAGAATTGGACAAGTGTCCATCACCTGTTGGGTGGGATGTAGATATCCAAGAAATATTGGACAGGTGTCCATTACCTGTTGGGTTGTATTTTGATGAAGCAATTCCAGAAACCCAAGAAGAAATGGACATGTAAGTGTCCATTGCTTGTTGGGTGGGATGTAGATATCCAAGAAGAGTTGGACAGGTGTCCATTACCTGTTGGGTTGTATTTTGATGAAGCAATTGAAGAAACCCAAGAAGAATTGGACAAGTGTCCATCACCTGTTGGGTGGGATGTAGATATCCAAGAAGAGTTGGACAGGTGTCCATTACCTGTTTGGTTGTATTCTGATGAAAGAATGGAAGAAACCCAAGAAGAAATGGACATGTAAGTGTCCATCGCTTGTTGGGTGGGATGTAGATATCCAAGAAGAGTTGGACAGGTGTCCATTACCTGTTGGGTTGTATTTTGATGAAGCAATTGAAGAAACCCAAGAAGAATTGGACAAGTGTCCATCACCTGTTGGGTGGGATGTAGATATCCAAGAAGAGTTGGACAGGTGTCCATAACCTGTTGGGTTGTATTCAGATGAAGCAATTCAAGAAACCAAAGAAAAATTGGACGTGTCCATCACCTGTTGGGTGGGATGTAGATATCCAAGAAGAGTAGGACAGGTGTCCATTACCTGTTGGGTTGTATTTTGATGAAGCAATTTAAGAAACTCAAGAGAAATTGGACAAGTGTTCATTATGTGTTGGGTGGGATGTATACCGGTATATCCAATAGGAGTTGGACAGGTGTCTAATACCTGTTGGGTTTTGCATCCCATCAAAGAGGTAATGTACACATTGTTCTTGGGTAAATTTAATCCCTTCATCAGAATACAACCCAGCAGGTTTTGGACACCTGCCCAATTCCTCTTGGATACCTTCATTCCACCCAACATGCAATGGACATTGGCCAATTTTCTTATTTATACTTGTAAATATTGGACATGACTTAAAAAGGTTTCTCCTTAAATGCTTGTTTGTGGTATTCAAGAAAGGTTGAACATAATCTGAGATGTATTAAGTTTTGTTTGCAGAATTCAGTTTACTGTATTTAGGTATTCATATATTTCAATATAAGGTATTTGTAAAATATATATCTTAATTGCAAAGATCAATGTTAGGGGTTACAATGGAAACCTATCACAGAAATTGACAAAATTGTGTGTTCAAACCGAAAGGTTTTCAGTTTTGTCTGAATTACCAGCAAACAATAAAAATATAATAAATTTGGAATGAATGAAGAATTATAAGAAAAACCCAATAAAATATGGACATTGGGAATAATATCCAACAAGATTTGAACAGTTACTACCCAAATAATGCATTCTCGTATGTACACTTTTTAGCTCACCTGAGCCGAAGGCTCAAGTGAGCTTTTCTGATCACATTTTGTCCGTCGTCCGTCCGTCCGTCTGTAAACTTTTCACATTTTCGACTTCTTCTCAAGAACCACTGGGCCAATTTTGACCAAACTTGGTACAAAGCATCCTTGGGTGAAGGGGAATTTAAATTGTTAAAATGAAGGGACATATCCCCTCGCAAAGGGAGATAATCAAGAAAAGACAAAAATAGGGTTGGGTCATTAAAAAATCTTCTTCTCAAGAACCACTGGGCCAGTAAAGCTGAAACTTATGTGGAAGCATCCTGGGGTAGTGTAGATTCTAAATTGTTCAAATCATGACCCCCGGGAGAAGGTCGGGGCTACAATGGGGAATCAAATTTTTATATAGAAATATATAGGAAAAATCTTTGAAAATCTTCTCCTCAAGAACCACTGGGCCAGTAAAGCTGAAACTTATGTGGAAGCATCCTGGGGTAGTGTAGATTCTAAATTGTTCAAATCATGACCCCCGGGGGAAGGGCGGGGTCACAATGGGGAATCAAAGTTTTATATAGAAATACATAGGAAAAATCTTTGAAAATCTTCTTCTCAAGAACCACTGGGCCAGAAAAGCTGAAACTTATGTGGAAGTATCCTGGGGTAGTGTAGATTCTAAATTGTTCAAATCATGACCCCCGGGAGAAGGGCGGGGCTACAATGGGGAATCAAATTTTTATATAGAAATATATAGGAAAAATCTTTGAAAATCTTCTCCTCAAGAACCACGGGGCCAGTAAAGCTGAAAATTATGTGGAAGCATCCTGGGGTAGTGTAGATTCTAAATTGTTCAAATCATGACCCCTGGGGGAAGGGCGGGGTCACAATGGGGAATCAAAGTTTTATATAGAAATACATAGGAAAAATCTTTGAAAATCTTCTTCTCAAGAACCACTGGGCCAGAAAGCTGAAACTTATGTGGAAGTATCCTGGTGTAGTGTAGATTCTAAATTGTTCAAATCATGACCCCCGGGGGAAGGGCGGGGCCACAATGGGGCATCAAAGTTTTACATAGAAATATATAGAAAAAATCTTTGAAAATCTTCTTCTCAAGAACCACTGAGCCAGAAAAGTTGAAACTTATGTGAAAGCATCCTGGTATAATGTAGATTCTAAATTGTTCAAATCATGACCCCCGGGGGAAGGGCGGGGCCTCAATGGGGCATCAAAGTTTTACATAGAAATATATAGGAAAAATCTTTGAAAATCTTCTTCTCAAGAACCACTGGGCCAGAAAAGTTGAAAGCTTATTTGGAAGCATTTTGGTGTAGTGTAAATTCTAAATTGTAGGAATCATGACCCCCGGGGGAAGGGCGGGGCCATTATAGGGAATCAAAGTTTTACATAGAAATATATAGGAAAAATCTTTGAAAATCTTCTTCTCAGGAACCACTGGGCCAAAAAAGCTGAAACATATGTGCCCATGGAAGGATCATGGGGCAGTGTAGATTTCAAAATGTCTAAATTATGATCAGGGGGGTAGGGTGGGGATGCATTATGTATAACAAGGGGGAAATCTGGTAAAGAACAGAA